AAAATAAAAATAACATCAGAATATAAAAAGATAAGGAAGATAAACGATAATAGAAAAAAGAGGGGAAAGGTAGAAAAGACATCAATCGTCCACACGGATGTGCGCCCTCCACTTTGCTCTCCCCACAGCCATACTCTCATCCAATCCAAGAAGACGCATATCAGTTCTGATTCCTCTAATCCAAGTCTGTTTGGGTCTTCCACTCCCTCTCTTCTCTGCCTCTTCTCCCCACTCCTCAAGTCATCTAACAGGTGCATCACACGATCTTCTACGCACATGCCCAAACCACCGCAAACGAGACTCCTGCATCTTATCTTCTATAGGTGCTATTCTCACCTTTTGTCTTATTACCTCATTCCTCAAGCGGTCTTTTCTGGTATGTCCACACATCAAACGCAACATACACATCTCTTCCACACTCATCTTTTGAATGTGGCATTGCTTCACCGCCCAAAACTCTACGCCATACATTAATGCCGGCCTAATTGCTGTACGATAAAATTTACCTTTCAGTCTAGTCGGCATACCTCGATCGCATAGAAATCCTGAAGCACTCTTCCATTTCATCCATCCAGCTCTGATTCGATGGCATACATCTCCATCTAAATCACCATCCTTCTGAATTATGGAACCCAAGTAACGGAACATATCACACACCGGTATCCCCTTACCATCAAGAGTAATCATCCCACTGTTGTTACTACTTCTACCTCCACCGAACTTGTAGTCCATATACTCAGTCTTGCTTCGGCTCAGTCTGAAACCCTTTGTCTCCAATGTTTGTCGCCATATTTCCAACTTTGCTTTAACACCGGATCGTGTCTCATCAATCAATACAATATCGTCGGCAAACATCATGCACCATGTGGTATATCTTCTTGAATTGACTTTGTAAGTTCATCCATGACTATAACAAATAAGAAAGGACTCAGAGCAGATCTTTGGTGCACTCCGATAGTAATAGGGAACTCTGCGGTCCTCCATACATTAGTGCGGACACTGTAGTACAAGCATCATACATATTCATGATGATACTGATATACTTACGTGATATGCCTTTTCTAGTTAAGGCCCACTAAAGAACTTTTCGAGGTACCCTATCATATGCCTTTTCTAAGTCAATGAACACCAAATGCAGATCCTTTTTAGTGTCTCAATACTTCTCCATAATTTATCTAAGAAGGTGAATGGCCTCAGTTGTTGAGCGTCCATGCATAAAACCAAATTGATTCTCCGAAATTTTCACACTTTTACGAAGTCTTTGCTCAACCACTCACTCCCAAACTTTCATGGTGTGACTCATAAGCTTAATCCCTCGATAGTTAGCACATTCTTGTACATTACTCTTATTTTTATATAAGGGAATGATAGTACTCTTCCGCCAACTCACTGACATTTTGTTGTTTCTCCAAATCATGTTGAAGAAACGTGTTAACCACTCTCCTAAACTTCTCCAAGCCTTGATCGGTATGCCATCTGGGCTCATTGCTTTCTTCCGCCCCATTTTTCTCATAGCCTCTTTAACTTCTGTTGTTTGAATCCTTCTCACGAAGTCCCGATTTACCATACATTCTGGTATAGTAAGATCATCAGTACCTTGCACTTTATTCTCGTTAAAAAAAAAAGAAAAAAATGTATGACCTCCACCTCTCTTTTATTTCTACATCGTCCATTAGTATCCTTTGATCGACATCCTTCACACACTTAACTTTTTCGATATCTTGAGTCCTACGGTCACGAAGGCAAGCAAGTTTGTAGATATCTTTTCTCCTTCCTTAGAGTCCAACTTTACATACAATTCCTTGTTCACTTTTCCTCTGGCTTCCTTCACAGCTTTCTTGAATCTTCTTCTAGCCTCTTTGTATTCCTCTATGTTCTCGTCGCTCCAACTTTTGCCCTATTTCTTATAGCATTCCTTTTTGGTCCTTATTGATTGTTTCACCTTATCATTCCACAAAGACGTGTCCTTTTTTGGTGGTAGACATCTTTTAGATTCTCCGAGTATCTCCTTCGCCGCTTTGTTAATGGTGGGCTCCATTGATAACCACACATCATCCACATGCGTGTCATTATCAATAGACCATACATCTTCCTCCAACATTTTGTGTGCAAAGCTTTGTTGGAGATTCCCCTCGAGCTTCCACCATTTTATCTTTGGCTCCCCTTGTACCTTAACTCGTCTTCACTTTTTACCTCGAAAACCAAGCACAAACATCCTATGATGAGTGACAACACTCTCACCTGGGATAACCTTACAATCAGTGTAGCTAGTTCTCCAAGTTATCCGTACTAAAAAGTATTCAATTTGGGTACTATTAACTCCACTTCTATAGGTGACAAGGTGAGAGTCTTTTTTTTTGAACCAAGTGTTCATCACAGCCAACTCATATGTCTAGGTTTCCCTAGGACTGACTAACTTCCTTTCGTGGGTAAAATTTTCAACTATACATATATACGGAGAAGTATCTTACTCCGTATTATATATATATAGAGAACTTTTCTCATACATCCGGACAGGCCAGAAGTGTCGCGAGTTACCTCCATTTGAGGTGTTTCTGAGTGGATTTTTTTGATGAAATTTTGTGAACATCTTTTTCATGAAGTGTAGATTATGTTCACAAAATTTAAGCTTAGAATTCAATAAGGAAGCCAGTTAAATAAATTAGTGAAAGATACTCTGTCAAAATATATATAAAAAACGCAGTGTTTCACAATAAATTATTTAGTTGACTTTCCGGTTGAATTCTAAACTGAAATTTATGGACATAATCTACACTTCATAAAACATGCTAACAAATTTCATAAAAACTGCACTGAAAGCACCTCAAGTCTTCAAATGGAGACGGTCGCACGACACTTCCGGTAGATCTGGATGTATGAGAAAAGTTCTATCTATATATATAGGGTAGGTTGAACTTAAGGATACGAACTACATACATACTCCATTGGCCTCACAAAATTTGACCAAGCTCAACTTGCATTCACCTTCCGAAGCAACTTGTTGAAATACACACACACACATACACAATTAAATACCTGCATTTGATGTTCATTGGTTTAGAAAAGTCATTCAATTTAGTATATCAATATTATCATGGTTATTTAAATGGATTGTATCATTGTACTACAAATGTTCGTAGTAATGTAGTGAGGACTGTGGAGTCTCCGATTATTATTGAAGTGCACCAAGGATCAATTATGAGTCATTTCTTATTTGTCATAATCATGGATGATTTTATGAAGTCAATTCAAGAAGATATACTATGGTCATATGGTGCACTGTGTTTATCGATGATAGTGTGCTGATCAATGAGACATGATTGTTGATCAAGTGCCAAAGTGAAGATATAATTATGATGACAAACCTCCAAGAGCAAGAGTTTCAGGCTGAAATGAAGTAAAATTGAGTATATAGAATGCAAGTTTAGTGCGGGTAGAAACAATGATAACTATGAAATTATCTTGGACAGTAAAAGTATCCCAATTAATGATGGATTTCGTTATCTGGGTTCCATAATAATGAAAGATGATGAATTAGATAAAGATTGTATCTCATAGAATCAAATTGGGTGGATGAAATGAAGTAGGACATCATGATTTCTATGCGTTCGAGATATGTCGACATGTAAATGTTATCGAACATCATGAATCTGCATTATTGCATGACATAAAGTGTCGGACGATAAAACCATGTCACATTTAAAAGATGAGTGTAGTTGTGAATCTTGTGATGTGCATGCGAGAAAAGATCGTTTCGCTTGATGATTGAGAATTGAGATAATCTCGTTTGTCGTGATTTGATCATATGCGTAGAAGATTGAGTGATACACCTATTCTTAGATGAATTATGAATTATGATAGACAGTTGATATTAATGAGTAAAAATGTGAATCGTTAAAGTTAGCTGATGAGTGATGAGTTGATGACTGAAGACGACCTATCTACATAAATCTATATATATGTATATATAATATAAACACAATAAATATAAACACACATAAATGGTTTCAATAGGTATAACCTATTGAGTTTTATTTATTTTCTATCTAAAAACTGAAAAGCGTTCAAAATTTATTCCAAAGAAAGTTAATAAGATACTCCCCCCCCAAGTTATACCTTTTTCAATAGGTATAACACTATAACCTATTGATTTTTACTGATTTTTTTCAGCTGAAAACTAAAAAGCTTTTAAATTTTTATTCCAAAGTTAACTAGGCACCGAAGTTTCATTTCGGATTCTATATTATATTACCATTAACTATGAAACACGGAGTGACAACATTCTACACCACTAACTTTTAGTTTAGTTTCTATATTACTCGTTTAAAGCTGTGTTATTTAACATTTAAACTCTACCAACTGAATTTATATTTGTACAAGTCATATCAAGAAAAATTGATACCATAATTTCACTGGTTTTATGAAATAAAATATAAGATGATAAAATTCCGAATCAACATGATATAGTGAAGTATCAAGAACATTTACAAAATCTGGAAAGGAATATCATTTAAGTTTAAATTCTCCAATTGTTCGTATTTAGTTGCAACAATTTGACTTTTATATGTTCAACATAGGATTTTGATTATTAATTTATATAATAATATTCTTTAATAAATATACATTAATAAATTCAATGTTTTGTGAATTGCGGTCTTGTGGAAAGACAAAACATTGCAACTATTTAAAGAAGGAGGTAGTATGATTTATTAGCTCTTTGGATGAATTTAATTCAATGTTTTGATATATCTTCAATGATGTAATGTAATATGATTTAATAAAAAGTAATGAACATTTTCTTCATGCTCTAGGTATGATTTTGATGCCTATTTATTTTATTATTATTAACATATAAATACGAATTGACAATTACGTAGTATAATATGTAAAAAGAAGCTAGTTAGAGAACGAACTGGTGTATCATGTTGCACGTTATAATATGTTGCACGTGAGCCAACGGTAGTCTTATTTTCAATTGACAAAATATTTATATCTTTCAGGGCTATGCTGCTAGGGAGTTTGCCAAGCAGGGAGTTAAGCCTAGAGAGCTAGCAGTTATTTCCAAAGAGTTGGTATGCCTTTTTATACTTACCCTCCTCCTTACTAATGCTCTACTACACACGATTTTTCATTTTAAATTCCTATCAAACTGATGATTGTTGGGTATGGTTCCAGTGTAACACGTATATAAACTAAACTGAAAGTTTATTTTCAGACATTTGTTTTTTTTGTATGAATGTGTTCCTTTTCAGGTGGCTCCATATGAGCGCCCAGCCCTTAGCAAAGCTTACCTCTTTCCTGAAGGTAGTTCTTTTTTCTTACAAAAAGTGACCATTCCTTTTTCTCATTGTAATGTAACTTTTCCCTACTTACTCATTTCAATTACTCATATTTTTTCTCATGTTTATATTATACTCATTTTGATCTTCACCAGGTGCTGCTAGACTCCCAGGCTTTCATACATGCGTTGGAAGTGGAGGGGAAAGATTGCTCCCCGAGTGGTACGCAGAGAAAGGTAGTACTTGCTTAGTTTTTCTTCCTATATACTACGTATAATTTTAACTCCATTTAATAGCGCAATTAATTCTGATTTATTTAAAGGATACATTCAATCTAATAAAAGGACATGACTATAACAACTATCTTTTGTCTTGGAAATATGATGGAATAAAGCAAAAACCTCACTAAACTGTCTGCGTTTCTTTGTTATGAAACAATAGTCAGTTCATGCAATTTTCGATGTGATTTTCATCATTGGTCATCTAGAAACAGTCTCTGTGTTTTAGTACAGGGGTAAGGCTGCGTACATCCTATCCCCTTTACCCCACCGTAGGTGAGAGCCTTTGCGGCACTGGGGTAATGATGATGACTATAACAACTATTTAAGCTTATCCCTAATCTTATACTCTCTCCGTCCCGGAATTAACTTCCCACTTGGATTTCACACGCAATAAGAAAATAAATTTACTAGGGGGTAAATTTACTGTTTTGACATTGTTTCGACATTGTTTTGCATTGTTTTGCACTGTTTTGATGTAGATAACATGCCAAATAAGGAAGTGGGAAGTTAATTTCACGACTGTCCGAAAAGTAAAACAAGAAGTTAATTTCGGGACAGAGGGAGTAATATCTTCGTTACACGTGGGGAAAACTTATAATGGGACATGATCACATGGCTAAGATAACTATCTTGGCTTATATAGTCATATCTAATGATACTCCCAATGCAGGTAGATAAACATATGATGATGACCAGTTTAGAATTTATGCAATTGTAATGTTTCGTACTGAGATGTGAATAGGAAGGATCATCCATTGAAACTTTCGTACTGTATGCATGAATAATGATATTAACTAAATTTAGACAATAAATTGATATCCTATATGAAGTGGAGCCCATGTGCACCGTTACAATGTGTTGTGTGAATGAGAAATCACGAGTTCAAGTCTTGGGATGACCTTATCAAAATGACAAGGGAAGGCTCGCTCATACACCCTTGTGGCGGGACCCTTCCCGCATCCTCACCTTGTGAGGACATCAATGTGCACCAAGCTGCCCCTTTTGAAATTCATATCCTATATTTATGCCATTGATTCTCAATGTTTTTGGGATTAAGGCAAAGATGATCTATGATGCTAATGAAACAGGGGATCTCACACTTCCAACAACGTATCCTCTTATGAGACATACATAGAAACTCTCTCAAGATAATTAAACTCGTCTTTATGGTCACAGGTATTTCGTTGATCCTGGGTACTGAAATAGTGAAAGCAGATCTCGCTTCAAAGACGCTTGTTAGTGCAGCTGGGGAATCGTTTAAATATGGAGTACTGCTTATTGCAACTGGTTCAACAGTGAGTATTACATGAAAGGATCCGTTACTTTTTCTGTTCACTTTTTCCCATACATGAACTTTATTTTCTTTGAATTTACAGGTTATAAGGTTGTCAGATTTTGGTGTGCAAGGTGCTGATGCCAAAAACATCTTGTACTTGAGAGACATTGATGATGCTGATAAGCTTGTGGAAGCAATAAATTCAAAGAAAAACGGAAAGGCTGTTATTGTTGGTGGAGGGTACATTGGACTTGAGCTTAGTGCTGTACTAAGAATGAACAACATCGATGTCACTATGGTATACCCAGAACCATGGTGCAGTAAGTAAACAGCTTAAATGTTTTTTTATCTAGATAATGTTTACTTAGAAAAGTTAGCAACTATGATTCCGAATTTGTTAACAATCTTTTCATGTTTTCTCCCCTTGGTAGTGCCCAGGCTCTTCACAGCTGAGATTGCTGCTTTCTACGAAGAGTATTATAAGAACAAAGGAGTCAAAATCATCAAGGGTACTGTCGCATCTGGATTTGTTTCCCATACTAATGGGGAGGTATGCAGTTTGCACATCTGATTTTTTTTTTTCGGTTCATGAAAGCCGTTGCTGTAAGCTTGGTTAATAGTGCTTTATGTTCCTTTTGATCAGGTGAAGGAAGTTATACTGAAGGATGGCCGAGTATTGGAAGCTGACATCGTCGTTGTTGGTGTTGGAGGAAGGCCTCTTACTACACTGTTCAAGGGGCAGATTGAGGAGGAGAAAGGTGGAATTAAGGTATGTCATACTTTGTTTAATTTTAGAATTGAATTTGAACATGATTAAAAGATGCGATACTTTGGATTATAATTGTATTTGAGCATGAATAATAGTGTGGTACTTTAGATACTCAAGAGTGAAGTATAATCACATTGTTCCCGTCAAACCAAGTGTAGTTCAAATGACCGCCGGGGGTTTGTTATTTGCTTCATAACTTCTAATTCACTCTCTTTTTGTTATTTTTTCTTTTATAAAAACGTACTACCTTCGTCCCGAAAAGGTTTGTCAAATTGACTTTTTCTTGGTCAATGATGTCAAACTTTGAGTAATGATTTTAGTTATTATATTTGTATATAATTTATAAATTTTATACTTTTATGAAAATATTTTCAATAAGGAATATTTTAGTTATTATATTTGTATATAATTTATACTCCGTATCTTTTATACTTTTATGAAAATATTTCGTATTAAAATATATCATTGGTCAACGTTGATTGCCATTGATCAAGAAAAGTCAATTTGACAAACATTTTTGGGACATAGGGAGTATGAAATTATATCTATAATCAAGTCTTATGAATTTGAATACGCGAATCTAATGTAATGTATATGACATTTTAAAATAAGCAAAAACCAGTACCGAATGAGTATACACAATTTACAAAACGAGCATAAAAAAATTTATAAGCTCATTTCAAATCTCCAATGTGCTCAAATATTCATTAATGTTGCATCGATGCACATTTACTTTAAATGATATACTCTTTGTCATATAACACAAAATTCATTTTAATAGCCTCCATGAGTACTCATTTTAAAACATTATATCAATACACATTCCCTTTAAACATTATACTCATTTGAGTATAAGATAAAAACTTATTCAAAAGTATATTATTTGCAAATAGCCTTAATTATTTTACTCAATTACGAGTATTTTTTATAATGTGAAATATTAAAAAAATTATATATAATAAGTAGTTTTTATACAAATGCATCAAACAATAAAATAATTCATCAATATAAGAATGAACATTCACTTTAGAATTTTTTCAAACACTTGATGGACATTAATTTAAAAAATCTGGAGTATTACTAATGAAAGAGGGATAGATATTTTAATCAAAGTATCATCCCATTTATACTTAATAAGGAAGGACATTCACTAGAAGTAAATTAAAAATTGTTATAAACTAAAAAAGAAGAAATAAAAGAAGGAAAGGAGAAGAAATAAAAATGAAGGAAAGAAAGCAGCGGACCCCCCACACAAGCAGAAATAACAAATTAAGCAACCAGTAGCATCAAACTAGATAACCTTTGATGATAGACTTGGAGTATTATATTACAAAAACATTGGGTATTTGGGTGTATCATGTATATTGCGTCCAAGTCCCATCGGAAGGTCTTGAGTTCAAATTATCAAGGTAAATTCGAAAATCCTCTAATTCTAGTGCTAGCAGGAGTGATCGTAGATTTTTTTGTGCGCGGTGGGGTATAGATGGTTGTAATGTGGGTTGTTCAAGGGATTTGGATTTACATATCTGGAGGATTTGGAGTGGGTTTCAAAAATCACATATAAACAAGACAAATAGTGCAAATGTAGACCGTTTGGAGAACCCGGAGACTATCACGTTAAGTAACTAAGAATCATACTTCCTACCATTTATTGACCGTTTGGAGCCTCCTTTGGCAGTCGCCACGATTGAATTTTGCCCACTTGATAAGGCGCCAGAACCCTATTACTCCTCTCTTGGAGTCTTGGACCATAGCAGCGCACAAGAACCTCTCCTATCCCCCATAACAACAACAACAACATCCAAGCCTTAATCACAAAAGAATTTTGGATCGGCTAACATGAATGAATCGATCAATGATATCGATGCCAAACAGAGAAGATGGACAAGAAAGGGGAAAAAAAGTAAGATAAAACGAATAAAATAAATATAAGATAACAATAACACAAGAATATAAGAAAGATTAAAGATAAAAAAAGAGCATAAAAAACTATAATATAAAAATAACATAAGAATATACAAAGATAAAGAAGATAAACGACAAAAGAAAAAAGAGAGGAGAGGTAGAAAAGAAATCAATCGTCCACACGGATGTGTGACTTCCACTTTGTTTTCTTCAAAGTCATACTGTCATCAAATCCAAGAAGACCGCATATCAGTTCTGGTTCCTCTAATTCAAATGCGTTTGGATCTTCCTCGCCCTCTCTTCTCTTCTGTGCCTCTTCTCCTCACCCTCTCAAGTCATCTAACCGGACATGACACAAGCCATGTCCTCGCCCAGGAAAATAATTATTGAGGCGGATTTTCCCTGCAATAACCACTTCCTGACACTATTTTGATTGCCATAATAGACCGCCCTCATTGTCCACTTCCTTATGCCCCGCTCGGTTTTTTTACCTACGGTGATTCAGCTTTTTCCCTGACCGTCCCTCTGCCTTCCTGCTCTCCTCCACTGTTGCTTTGCCCTTCTTAGCTGTTGAAGTGGCCACCCAGCACCTGCTCTCCTTTAAACCCTTATGTCCTTGACCCCCAAGCCACTCTGCTCCCTTCCCTGCACTCCCTTCTTTGACCATTAGCTCGCGGCCACAGTCAGAACAGTTTCCCCTCCTCCTTCGATGTTCCAGCCTTTAATAGTGTTGGGAAGAACCTGTCCGAATGCCCAATAACCCCGTAGCCACTCTGCTCCCTTCCCTGCATTCCCTCCTCTAGGAGCCTGGGACCAATCAGCCGTTACCATTCTCCAGCCTTTAATAGTGTTAGGCAGAACTTGTCTGCATGACCAATTACCTCAAAGATGAAGCAAAAACATGGTAACTTCTCATACCTGGAATTTCATCCAGAACCAGTCACTTCCCTCCTGCCGCTGTTTCATTATCGGTTTCAAGGGATTCTCCACCCTCGGCAATAACTTTGTTCACATATATGTCTTCCATGAAACTTGCTTGCCTTCCGGATAAAAAACACCAAGGAAATCACCAACAGCCCATGCCACCCACTCAAACTTGAATACAACTATGAGACTGTGAACTCGAGCCCAGAAATTTGCCTAAGTGGAACCTTCAGTAGGACATCTTATGCCATCAGCAGCGTATCACAATCAGGGTGTGGTTAAAAGCCTAGGGAATCTGCCATCACACCACTCACATGTATATAAAAGTTATTAATTCTTGCTACACTAAAATATATGATGTAGAGCTTGTCATATACTAGAATATATCACTATACAATACATTATATTAGTAATAAAACATATACTTTATCTCTATGTGCGATACAAAAAATCATTTATGAAAAACTAGTTACCGTACATTAACAAAAATGTTACTATATTTGTCTTCTAAGCTATATATATAATACTATGTATTAATGATATAATCTTCATTTCATCATTGTAACTTTTTGTTGTTAATGTATTGAACTTGGAGGTTGATGTTCTTACATTTGGGTGCAGACTGATGGGTTTTTCAAGACAAATGTTCCTGATGTATATGCTGTTGGTGATGTTGCCACCTTCCCTCTGAAGTTGTACAATGAACTCAGAAGAGTTGAACATGTTGATCATGCTCGCAAATCTGCAGAACAAGCTGTAAAGGTATCCAATCTATCTACTAACTTGGAGAGTTTGAGTGCACTAATGTTTAAACTAATATGTAAAACAGTATCAATCATTTAAGAGGATAGTTAAATCTAGCCAGTAGCCATGTGAGATGAAACCGGGAATGATTTCTATTTTCTTAGAATGTTGTCACATTTCACGATTTCAGAGATGGTAAAACTTCTGAAAAATTCTCCACTTTTTTGTGTGGCCGTTTGTCCCTCGTACTTCCTCACATCCTTTTGGAAAGTGTTCCTTCAGCAATGTTATTGAAGTAATCGTTTTCATTTTTCCAAGATTTCTTTTTCGTTTCGTGACAGTGCTCCTTTATAATAAGGAAGCTTTGACTCAAGTACTTAGATTCACATTCAACTATTCAAGTGGCTATGGGTTTTTATGTTTTATTAAAACTCGTAAAAGGGTTCAAAATTGTGAAAAACTGGGCTGTTCAAAATTGTGAAGAACTGGGCAGCTGGGCTATTATGCATGTATTAAAAGCGTGGGCAAAATACTCACAATAACCGTTACTTGGTGCAGGCAATATATGCAAGCCAACAAGGGACCAGCATAGATGCATATGACTACCTTCCCTACTTTTATTCCCGCGCGTTTGATTTGTCGTGGCAGTTCTATGGTGACAATGTGGGTGAAACAGTACTATTCGGGGACAATGACCCAAAATCTACAAGCCACAAGTTTGGACAGTATTGGATCCAAAACGGGAAAGTTGTGGGTGCATTCTTGGAGAGTGGGACTCCTGAAGAGAATAAGGCTGTTTCCAAAGTGGCAAGGGATCAGCCTTCTGTTCTAAGCTTGGAAGAATTAGCAAGGGAAGGCCTAAACTTTGCTGCTAAGATCTGAACTTTCCTTTACACTTATCACATGATTACTATTTTTGTTGAAAGATTTCTATATGCTTATCACATGATTACTGACATTGTAAGTTTGATAATGTAATTTGAAGTCCACATAAGGTTTGCGCCACTCTTTAATTTCTATTTTAACCTCTTGTGAGTTGTGAGTTTTATTGTTTCCTTCTGCGTTTCAGCGCAGTAGTTTTTGTTTGTTTTGCAACTACCCAAGGACCTGAGCAAGTAACCAAAACAATCTCACGTCTTAGTGCAAGGCCCGCAAACTACAATCTTGTTTTTAAAGAAGTCCCTAATTCAAATAATATATTGGTCATTAAGGTTACGAATTTTCATAAATACCCTTTTTGTTGAGATAATAGTGTTTTGGAACTCCTATTACTATAGAGCTAATACTACCTCCTTTCTTGAGATGGAGGGGTTGTCACGGTTATTAAGAAAAGTGGTTTTATGTGGTTGATATTAATTGATAAAGTAAGGATAAAGTAAAAACAAAGTAAGATTGATTTAGAGGCACATAAACTTTACCGAATTTGGTATATGCCAATTTTAATGGGATTTTCGGAGAAGGTAAACTGAGACAATATTAACGGGACGGAGGAAGTATTATTCTAGAGATTGTATTTAAATAGTATTCAAGTCTCTAAATAGTATTGAAGTCTAATTCCACAGAAGTGTTTAAAACTAGGCTTAGACACGGGTCGGGTCCGGCCGGGCCAACTAACCCCAGCCTAAACCAAAAAAATAAAAAAAAATAAAAAAAAAGGCCCGAACTGGGCCCGGCCCAGCCGGGCTGGTTCCCCTTTTCCCTTACTTGTGCCCGGAACCGGTAGACCCCCCGGGCCTAGGCCTGAACCGGAACCGGACCTGGTTTCATGGGCCGGGTTGGGCCCACACAGTAGCGGGCCGGGTCGGTTCCCGGGCTGGGTGGCCCGCACCGAGTCCAAGCCTATTTAAAATATGAGTTAGAAAACTATGAACGTCTCTTACTACCTTTGTCCCATTTTATGTATCTTACTTTATTTGGCACAATTATTAATAGAATGGTTGTAAAAATAAAAGTTTTGGTTGAGATTTGAGTATAATAAATGGAATGTTGTACATCACATATTTATTTTCAAAAAAAGAAACGTGACACATATTTTGGGACACCCAAAAAGGAAAGTAACACATGTAAAATGGGATAGAACGGGTATATCAATCATAGTTCCTTTTACTATCAAATAGTTTTAAAGTCTAATTCAACAAAAGTGACTAAAACATGAATTAGTAAACCAGTTTATTATATCATTGTTAGTTTATTATAGCAAAAACAATAAAAAAAATGTTTGGTACTATTGGAAAAAAGTCAATTCTACTCTTATTTCTAAGTTGAGTGTTAGAAATAAGTGAATCAAGTGATGCTGTTTTTTTTTTATCATCGTGATGCTGGTTAAAAATACTCAATTGTGCTATTTAGTCGGTTAGATATAACTATATAAGTATTGCCGGTTATGGTGTGCTTGGACGCCATTGTAACAAAAATTCTTTTCCTTTCTTTACTTCCCTGCTATCCTCTGGTTTGCATCCACCAACTTCATTCCTTTCTTTCTTTCTTTCTCTCTCTCTCTCTCTCTCTCTCTCTCTCTCTCTCTCTCTCTCTCTCTCTCTCTCTCTCTCTCTCTCTCTCTCTCTCTCTCTCTCTCTCTCATTCTTTCTTTCATTCTTTCTTTCTTTCTTTCTTCACTAAATTTAAATGTGTTTAAAACTCGATTTACATTCTTCGAGATAACTTTCCGTCGATTCTGGGAGTCCTCAGGGATGGGATGCAATGTTGATCCATTTTTTAGAAGCTATTATGAGATATTATCTCCTCGAGAGTTTTTTTTGAAGGGACCTTCTCGAGAGTTATTCAAGTCTCCGTTTCTGACTAGTATAAAGAACCCCAATTAACACAACAAAACACAAACAAGCGAGTGTAAAAAAGTAGGCATGTTTAATTTCCGTTGTAGTAATGTGAACATGTATTGAAAGAAGTGGAAATTTGGATGAAACACAATAGCGAGTTCCTGGATGATTGAAAGATAAAAAGGGCGGATTGGAGTACGTACAATAAATACATAAGAATATTCAGGGACGGATCCAAGATTTTGAGTCAAGGGGGGCGAAAATTTTCGTTAGTGTAGGAGATATAAAAATTCACTAATGTAGCAGGGTGATTTTTTTTGCTAGTGTAGCTGGGCGAATTTTTTCACTAGTGTAAGGCTCTGCGGCTATTTTAATTCAAAAAATTCATTAATACATGCATGACGATATTTAAATCTATATATTACATTCTAATTTTAGCAAATCAAAGGAAAATGATATAAAAATAAAAAAGGATATATAACATTTTATTTAAATATAAAGAGTTTATAAGGTACACATTCACGGATTCACATTCACCAATATATACTTTTAAAATAACTTCAACATCGTTTAACTACACGAGTCTTATAGAAATAAAGAATGTATTTTTGAATTACAATTTTTGTCTACCATGGAGTGTGTATGATTTTATTATTTTTAGAATAATATTATATTGCTAATTCATATATATATTGCATATCATATATGTATTAATACTAAAATAATTAATGTTTATTATCTATGGAATAAAGCCTTTTTAGAATGTAAGAAGTAAATGAATTGTGTAATTTAATGTCAATAAACATTTATAAATTGGATTCACTTCACATGATCTAAAAACTTTGTATCTAGAATGTCTGGTATTTAATATCGTTTGATATAGATTTTTTAAAATTGTTTACTAGTTATCTAATAAAGATAATTAACAAAACTAATAATTTTTATATAATAAGTATCCTAAATTTTAAATAATGAGTTGTTCTATTGTTTATTTAAGTTATGTAAATGATTTTAGATGTTACTTCTTTTAAATCTTCAATTAAGTATTACATTATGTAAGACTATATATTAATTTTAAAAACTAAAAATTAAAGGGGGCAATGTTCAAAAGAAGTTAAGGGGGCGAATCTAATTATTGTATCAAAATTTTACAAAAACATTACATATACAGTAGAAAATTTTGAAAGTCAAATTTTGAAAGTCCAAAGGGGACGGTATGAAAATCTATTTATAGGTATGAAAATCTGGAAATACGCTTGTGATGGGAAACATATTTTATGACTGTGGTCCACTCCTCTTAATTTGGCAACTACCGACCTACGGAATAGTACTTTAACTACATATACACGATTTTAATGCCTCAATTCCCAAATCTGCCGTGATTGGACTAACTCCACCTCTCCCATCACTCTTCCCTGTCAAATTTGATAAAATTTACTGAATATATAGTTATCAATACATAAATCAAATTTTCTTAAAAACTGTATCACATTTTCATATCTCAATTTTAGTTGGATGATGGAAGGAGCCAGTGCATTGAACCGAACTAGGCCGGTACAAACGATGTTTTTGGGGAAAAAATTACATGGAATTTTTATCCTAAAATTTTAGGCAATTTTTAAATTTGGGGTGAGTCAGGGCCTAGGAAGCCCCCATCTAACTTTGCCCCTGGTAGGATGGAATGTGTAACACTCAAATTGATTGAATCAGCTAACTCCTCTGAAATAAGTAAAATTACGACCGAAGCGACTGAATTAGTTAAATCTGTTGAGTTATGAAATACAGAGTAATTATATTTAAAATATATTTTAATAATAAAATGAAGAAAGAATATATGAAAATGACAAAAATGATCCTCTATAGTAACTTGAGTCAATTCAATCATAAAAGTAACTCTAATCATATTTATTTTGATTATTACACAATTCAACGCGTGAGATCAAAAGCTAATATTTGGTAAAAATGTTGAGTGACAGGAGAGATTAGTTGAAAATAAAGGTTACCAAACAAGTTCTTAATATTATTAAAATACTTCCTCCGTCCCATAAAATTCTTCCCACTTTCCTTTTTGAGTCATCCCAAAAAATTCTTCCCACTTACCATTTTTGGACAATATATGTGGTTCACATTCATTTCACTTTTTTCTTACACAACCACAACCACACATTTCCACTTTATTCCACTTTCTTAATATCTGTGACAAGTCAAAGTGAGAAAAATTTTGTGGAACGTAGTAGTAATTAATAGAAATGTACCCTCTTCAATTCATATGCTCCTCTTTATAGTGTTTGTCTCGGCTGTTATTCTTGATGAATCAATTTCATTCCCTTATTTTTTTAATTTACTAAACTTTTGGAGTTTTAAAAATAAGTTTCCCAATTCAGTAAAAGTTTCAGTTTATTTTACAGGTATGAAATCTTTTTATTATTATTATATAAATATGAAATCTTACTTATCTTAGTTACTAGCTAGTGATAATTTATGTACGTGTTAACATGATCGACATATTGATTTTTGTGTCCGTCAAACATCGTAAGCTATTATGCACAGTTAATAGGGAACTAAAGAAGTACTGTATGTAGTTTAATTATTAGTATTCTATAATTTGTGAGTATTTATAGAATTATTGTTGGTATTCTATATTGGATGTAGACATGCAGCAGCTATATATGGTTTGTACGTACTAGTGAGTATAGATAAGTCAGCTTCGGTGTTTAGGAAACCCTTGATTTCCTTAAATGGATATGGACGGTGACTCAGATTTGAAATGAGTTGGTTCATTTTGGGGTTTCACTTCTTCTTGCTTAACTATTTGCAAGTAAGCATATTTTCCACCAAAACAAGACATTTATATAACGAAAACGTATTTTTTAATGAATCATCACCAATGTCACTTATCAAGTATCACAAATACATCATACACCCAATACAACAAAATATTTGTCTTAGAATACAATCTTTATGTTTAATATAAAGTTTACAATAAGCTATCACAAATATAGATGGCCCATGCATCCCGAACTTCATCGATTTCATCTTTTTACATTGTCTCATCTCTTATTGTGCTCTTGTAAACCTATAAAAATAAGCAATTACATTATTAATATTTGAGGTGAAATAGACAAATAACAAATCATGAATAAAACTGTTGTTGGGCCACGAAATAAGCCAGGAAATTAATTTGGAGTCCAACCCAAGAGAAAATATATAGTCAGGTGACCCAATCCAACATTACGCCTAAATGGATAAGGACGTGGATGTTTGAATCGAATAGTGGTATAAGATGATAGAATTGCATAACAAACTCCCTAATTCGGTGGCATAGGAGAGGGAAGTGCCTGGAAGTTAGGCATGGTGGCCTCATGATAGCAATTGCAAGTATAAATGGAGAGCATTATTTCATTTGTAGAGGAGGACGAACCATACATTAACTCTTCCAAAACAATTGTATTGAGCTCATTATTATAAAATCCATTATATTTTGTATTCCTAATTCTTATATATTCCCATCATAAATCCTCAAAGTATTATTTAGCTAAAATAATAATCATCTTCTTTTTTCTTCCCGCCTTGATTCTTGTACGTAGCCCATTATCTTCCATTTATTCAATTGATTATTTGAATTAGCACAAAAATTGCTAAAACAATTTGGCGCCCACCGTGGGGCCTCGTGCAAGAGAAAGATCGATCATGGCTGGAACAAATCAATGGTTGATTGAATTTCATAAACAGCTAGAAACGGCAAAAGAGGAAATCCGACGTGAGATGGCGGAACAAACGGCCCACATTCAACGGGAGAATGACGTTCTTCTTTCACAAGTGCAGTCAGTGGTGTCGATAGCTTCAAACTCCATGATTAACCGGAGGAGAGACACCAAGACTATCGCCACGAAACTGGATCTTGGTTTCACCCCGGCGGTGACGGATCCACCTGCAACGATGACGGATCACATCTCCCTCACACTAGGCCTATCGCCAACCGGAGAACTTCAATCAACGGTCATCTCACAGCTCATCCCCTATACACCTCTCGTTCCTGAGACAACTCCCGCTCCCAGCATACCAACTTGTTTCTTTCCGGAGTCCCTTCCTCCCGAATCAAGAACGACAGACTTACACTCAACCACTCAAAGCATACAGATGGTTTCCGCCATGTCAGCCCCGACGGAGCCCTCAGTACCTCACTACATAAGCAGAAATCATGGAGAGCCCGGTCCGTCCAGTTTCGTGCAGAACCGCAGACGGAATATTTCTGACGACCTGCTACCTGAGGTTCAGACACAACGACCGCGTACACCAGTCACTTTGACGGATCAAAATTGTGGGGGGCGATGTCTAGAAATCATATTCATTCCTTCACCAACCTGTCCCGAAGCGACTCAGATGGCAGGACCAACGGTTCCAATAGGAGGACTACTTCAACCAGGTATGGCGGACACAGTCTATGATGATGGACCAGCTACGACAAATGCAGGAGAGAATTAATGCAATTCCTGGAGTTCCCCCTCCACTTGACATAGCGTCTCAAACGTGTTATGAAGACTCACCTTTTGACGGTTCGATCATTCGTGTCGAACTGCCAAATAAATTTGACGTACCAACCATGGAGCCATTTGATGGAACCACGGATCCGGGAGAACATGTTGCACGATATAAGTAAGTGATATCGACAGTCTCTGTTAGAACTGAACAGAAAGAGGCATGTAAGTGTCGTGGATTCAGCATGACATTGACCGGTCCAACTTTGACATGGTTCGTCAATCTTCCGAATGGGAGCGGCGGTTCTGATGGACAGTGTACCCGGGGGTAGCTTATCTGAGGGGTTATTGCGGAGAATAACTAGAGAGAAGTCAGAGCAAGTAAGTAAGAGAGAGAGTGTATATCAGATATGTACTGAGCGTATTTTTCTTCTTGGTTACAAATGGGGAAATGAGGTGTTATTTATAGTAGTAATAAATGCCAGATAAGGACACATGTCAAACATCCATTGGCCGAGGGGTCACATCAACCGATTGGCGCTGACAATCGCATGTGGCCGCATTTAATGCGGCTGTTGGATGTGACGTCGTACTTGGTACGGTGATTCAGGCGCATGTGGAGTGGATATTATGTCGAGAAAGGTGCCCTCAGCTGCAGGTGATTAGCTGAGGGCTCTGAGTACCGGGGTCCCTGTTGTTATCCTGAGAGATGCCGAAGGGGGAGCCCCCAAATTATGAGAATGAGGGCGTGATGAATGTGGGTGATGTTTCCGGTGTTGCCGAGGGGTCCTTTGTTCGTTGGTGAGTGGAGGGCGCCTTTTGATGAAGGCGTGCTCCCCCGGGGGCTTCGTGGTCCTCAATGTGTTTGAGGCCCGATGGTTCCCGAGGAGTGTGCCCGTTATGAAGCCGTGGGCTTCTGAAGGAGTAAGCCCGAGGGCCTTTGTGATGTAGTATGAGGGGCGTAAACCGGGAGCATCTCTGGGTAAGTGTGCCCGAGGGCTCCTCTTGATGAAGTGGAGTGAAGTAGAAAGCCCGGGGGCTAGTTTCCTGGTTGATGAAAAGGAGTGGTCTACCGAACATAGTCGGGAGCTCCCAGAATATGGCCGTTGTAAATAGAGCCATTAGAATTCCTAATGTCAGAAATATAGCCGTTGGGGGAGGGCTTCCACGTGGTGCGTGTTCGTTGGCTGCCTGTGGGCGGATGTCACCGATTGGGCAATTCGACAGTCCGTAATGATGGCTTTCCAACCGGAGGCCCGGTTTCCGGCCCAAGCCCGGATCTGTGGCGCCTATAAATACCCAAGGCCAGAGGACTTACCCCTTGTGCGATCATTGTTGTTAGCAGAGCTCTGCCAAATTTTCTAGAGAGAGAAACTCCAGCCCTCGATTCCAAGGTCAGTTCCCCACTCGTCCTTCACCCTTCTTAGCTAGATGTGCTTAGTGGCCTTAGATTTAGGAGTTGTAACTTAGGGCACTTAGCATCTCCGAACCCTCGACCTAGCGTAACAATGTCTTCGCAAAGCACTCTCAAGACATATCGAGGGAGCCCTCGATGGAAGAGGAGAGCTTCTCCGATGTGGGGTCCTCGAGCGAGCAACCCTCGGCCCAGGAGGATGCCGCGATGGCCATGGAGGTGCAGAAGGACCTCGTGGCTGAAGTCAAAGCTGAGGACTTCGAACAGGTCATTGAAGACGAGGAGATGGCCCTGGCCGTTCAAGTTGCGGAGGAGGAGGAGCACATGGAGAGGATGAAGGTCACCATTGCTGTGCCCCCCCCCCCCTCGTGGTGCTGGTGGGGCAGGGAGCTCTCGGCCCCTTAACCTGACACCTCTAAGGGTGGCCCCCGGGAAAAAACAGGAGAAGAAGAAAGCTGCCCCCAAGAAGAAAGGCATCACTGTTGATCAGGGAAAGCCCATTGATATGCCCGAGGGGTATTCTTGGTTGAATACCGCTGCCCTCGATATAGGGTCGAAGGCTGATCGGGAAGATCTTTACGTCACTCAGCTACATGTGGGGCCTTCAGCCGTGGTGGTGGCGCCGGGTCCTGATGATGTGCTCTCCCGGGCTCCCGAGGGTTGCATCGCCGTGCACATCCTGTCTGTATCGATGGGGCTCCGGTTCCCCCTGCACCCATTTCTTCGGGAATACCTCAGGTACGTGGGTTTGGTCCCCTGCCAATTGACGCCCAATAGCCACTCCTATGAGGCGGGCTTTCTGAATCTCTGCCGGTCCCGAGGGGTGACCCCCAGCCTGGACCTGTTCTTCCAGAGCTTCAACCTCTGCCGGGGGGGGGGGGGGGGGGGGGGGTCACGCGAATGCCGAGGGCTTCGCCAACCTGCAGCAGATAGCTAGGTGGAAGCTATTTACAGAGGCGCCTTCGTCCAATAAAGGCTGGAAGGAGCGGTGGTGTTACGTCAGAGCTGACGAGAGCCCATTCCCGAGGGAACTTCGGGATCGCTTCCGTCGACATCTGAAGGTTGGAAATGCCGCTCTTGAGAGGATGGCCTGATAATATCCAAGATTCCGGAGGGTCGCACGAAGCAAGTGTCCATTAAAGATTACACTCTTGACAAGGAACTTTTCGCCCTCGGCTTCCGGAGATATCGCTTCCTCGGTGAGACAGACGAGAAGTATCATGTGTTGGACAAAGCCTTCGAGGGAGCAGGAGGTAGTAGCCGAGGGCTCCCTACTTTGTACTTAGGATTATTTCCTTGTTTATTTTTTTCGCGCTTTCTTACCCTTCGGTCTAACTATTTTTTGTCGCTTGCAGGTGCGAAGCTGGACGCCGGGAAGCTCTTTGCATTGAAGAAGAAGAAGAAGGGCAAGGCCCAAGCCCAAAAGAAGGGCCCCTCGGTCCAACAGCCTGTTGAGGCTTTCTTCCAGAAGGAGACTCCGGAGCCCTCTGTTGCGGAGGTAGTTACCGGTTTGGCCGAGGGGGCCACAAAAAAGAAGAAGGGCAGCAAGGCAGTTGAGCCCCCTGCCAAGAAGTAGAGGGGTACCGGGGATACTGCTGGCCAGGATTCCCCCTTGGTGATCATAGAGGATCGCCCCTCCCCCGATCCCCCGGTTGGTGCTGCGTCGACGGCTCGGACCGTTCTTCCCCCGGGAAGCTTCCCCCGGTTGATTCTGCAACTCTCCTTGGCCCCGGGGGCTTCTGTGATGCATGGCTTAGCAGAGCCAAAGGCCTTCCTGAGGGGGATCACCTCGGCGATGGACAAGGTGGCCCTCTCCACTTACGACGATGAGGCCCTCGAGAGCAAGATCTTTCGCTCTTCGCTAGCTGTAAGTTTTCTCCTTTGCTTTTGTGTTAACCTTTGATGCATTTTCAATACTTATCTAACCCCTTCGCCTTTTGTTTATCAGACTTACATAGCCCTCGGGGAGCATGCACAGAGGCTCGAGCAATGGCGCCTCTAGAAAGCGGAGCGGGATCGGGAGATGAAGGAGCTTGTCTTGAAGAACTCTGATGTCGTGAAGCAGATGGCCTTGCTGGAGGAAGATCTTCGGAAGGTTACTGAAGGTGCTGAGCTGAAGGTCAAGGCTGTCGTGGAGGAGGCCAGGCTCGAAGCCGAGAGGGCTGCCAAGGAAGCTGCCGAGGAGGCAGAGTCCGCCAAGGCCGAGGCCATCGCAAAAGCCCGAGAAGATGCTGTTGCAGCATTCATGGCCGACGGCTGGAAAACCGAGGACAGGCAGCAATGGGTGGCCTCGGTCGTGGAGTCTTCGGTGGATGACTGGGTAAAGGGCCCCGGGGCCGACTGGATGGCAGAGAGGGGGGATAGTTACTATCAGGGGGGTGAGTTCTTCACCCAGCATCTGGTGTACCGGAGGCTCGCCAGGCATTTCAAAGTCTCCCTCGAGGAGTTCGACCCCTCGGCGTATGGCCTTCCTCCTCTGAAGCCAGATGTAAGAAACCCCCTCCCCCCGGGAGAAGAGAGGCCGGTGATCCACGATTCCATGATGATGGGGGGATCCGGCGATGGTGATGCCGAGGCTGCCGTCGGGGAAGAGGTCACCTCGAAGCCTGCTGAGGAGGCAAAGGCTGAATGATAATTTGTACTTAGTAATTTTTGAACATTTTTTGTAATGAATATCTGTACGCTTTCGGCCTCGGCCATTCTGTAATACACATTTCAACTATTCCCTCCTGTTTGATGAATGAATGTCTGCTTTCGGGCTTTTGCACCTAATTCGCTTTCCCTTTGATTGTTTTTCTTTGAATGTATGCCTTCGTTTTTTTTTATGTATGCCTCCGTTTTTCTTTGTGGATGAATGCATGTTTGTGCGGTACTCTGGCCGGGGGGCAAAATTTTAGGACTTAGAAAATATTTCTCCAAGTATAGTACATCCCGTAGCCCTCGGTTACTAGGCCCATTTAGTCATCTGAATGTCTCACCGAGGGCCACACGTTCAGGACTTAGAAATCTTTTCTAAGTGTTGTTCATCTGTTGGCCCTCGGCTAATTTCTTTCCTCTGGTTCTGTGCAGCCTTCATGAGATAACCGGAGGCAAGGCGCTTGGGACTTAGAAAATTTCTTCTAAGTGTTTGAATACCGTCTGGCCTTCGGTACGTGGGCACCCCTCGCTGCATGGATATATATCTGAGGGCCCAAAATATCTAGGACTTAGAAAATATTTCTAAGTGTAGTTTCACCAAGCCTTCAACCGTGTAGCCCCTCTGGCTGCATGGAGATTTGACCGAGGGTCAAAAATGTTTAGGACTTAGAAGATAATTCTAAGTGTAGTTGTATGGGGTAGGAGCCTTCGGGGTGAAATGTGAGAGCCTTTCGTAGGAGTGCCTTCGGTTGACCGGTGGCTCGACAGTGGGCAAAGCATTCAGGACTTAGGAAAATTTTCTCTAAGTGTTGTTTAGTGTCACGCCTTCGATCACTTGCCCCTCCTGGGCGTGGGAATACATGGCCGAAGGCCAAATATGTAGAACTCGGCAAAAACAATTTTTCTAAGTGTCGTTTTACTGAGCCTTCGGCTGCGCAGCCCCTCCGGCTGTCTGAGGATTTGACCGAAGGCCAGGAGGATATTTAGGACTTAGAAAATTCTTCCAAGTTTTGCTTGTCATCTGTCCTTCGGCCTACGCCTTCGCTTGGTTTGCATTGAATAGGCCTTCATTGCATGATGGGTTGGCTGAGGGCCAACCATCTAGAGCTTGGGACATTTTCCATATTCCATGGTAAATAGGCCCTTCGGTTTGTAGTATCCTGAGTAAGAGATCCCTCGGTGAATAGAAGTTGTCTTCGATCTTTGTTGATCAGAGGAGCCTTTGGCATTATTTGAAATGTTGTTGAGTGAACCTATCAAGTTCTGTATGATTCGAACCTTCGGTGTTTGATGTATCTGGAGGCAATCGAAACGTTCCCATGGGG